AACGAGATCTTATCTGGGAATAAGTTTCTCGATATGGGTTAATTTAATTACATGCCGGGCCGTGCTCCATGGAATTACGGTCACTTTCCCATGGATGCTCCGTCTTCATTGATCTTATCAAATCTGCACCTTAATTCGATCAAAAGATAGCCGATCAAAAGAGAACAGCCTACCCTACTAGTAGCCCGTCATATTGCAGATCGCGATGCTTTGTTCAATGGACTTCTCTGGTAGTCCCTATCGATGAATGAAGGTTAATGATCGTTGTTTTCTGACGAACACCTCTATGTTAGTTTATTTGTCGTCAGTTTCACGAATAATAACGCACATTTTAGGTGAGTGACATTTACGAGTAACATGCTCATTTCGTTTTATAACGACGATGCGGTTAGTGTATTTTGTCTTCATCTAAAAACACATGCAATCCACGATTATATGGTATGGAGTGCTTGAATGGCAGTAAGTTCGTTTGTATCGTATAAATTTATCACATCGGACCATCGACGAATATATACATAAATACAAACATACATAACGATGCTTACGAGCAAGGTACAGCGACTAAATGAGACATGCTTCTTCTGTAATGATGGACAACAGCATTAGTGCAACATAACAGTTTTTGTGAGAATGTATCTGATTGATTTGACGGAACAGTGAACGGAAAGAGAGTGATTCGAGTTCTGATGAGTGCTCTAACGTCGAGGACGAAATCAACGAGGACTTATCATGAACTCGGCCAGTTTCTTAGTCAGTTGAAAGTGTTTGCTATGCGTAAACGTAGCTCGACCTAATGGAATCCTGTTTAGATTACTGGTAAGCTAAGCTGAGCTAATTTTAATGATCAAGCAATTAGATTGTATCCTAGACTGAAGTATCGATTTCACTACAATCCAGAAACCCCGATAAATTGTCTGTCATTCCAATCAGTGAATCCTAAACTTGCATTCTTCACTTTCGGTAGATAACCACTGAGAGATGCTAGTTCTCATCCACTGATGGTGCGGATTCAGGCGACTTTTCATTAGCCTCAGCAATATCAGAGTGATTCTCAACAATATCCTTACTGCATTTATCCTGATCGATCAGCGTTGAGCCACGATAGCAGAAGAACGCCTCTTCAAAACCGATCTTAGGCGATGGCTTTCCGAGAATCTTCAATGCGTTCGTGTATTGGAAGATACCACCACGTAGACCGATTTGCATAACGCCGTACACCGTTGAAGTGCCATCAACTTTTGCGCTTCGAATTGGATCACTGAAAAACGAATCATTCATTATTCCTTAAATGAAAATCATAGTGACTAAAACGAGCGCTGCAAGGATTTATCAATTGTTGATTGCGAATTTATCATTTGATGAATGACAAGATAGCAGAACACAAACAAAGTTATATCTACTGTTGAAGATATAAGCTGACGAACAATTGTATTCGCTAACTGAATCACACAGTAATGGAATTTAAACTTTCCGAATTCAGCATTTATCAGTTTCCTATTCGAACATCCCTTGTTGCATTACAATAAATCAAAATTATGCATTTTTCAGTGATTTCAACAGTCTATAAAGATGGCAGTTGTGAACAAATATAACGAGTTTTTCAACATTCCAAGCGTTCGTGTCAACATTGTGCTTCTTTTGAAGGCACATTTGAAGGCACACTTATTTCCGTGTTGTGCTGTTGAAATACGCTCACCGTTCAGCGATGAATGTAACGTTGATACGATAATGACTCTCTTGGAGCGTCTCACCGGTCACCTGAACACGACCACAATCGTTCAATTTCCTGCAAGTTTTTTTTTTAGGCCTTCAAATGTGATTTGAACTGATTTGTTGATGACTTAATGATGGCAATTAGTTATGATCTATAGGGTGGAACTCATTAATCTAGAGGGTGGAACTCATTTTGCGGTACTGTCGTTCACCACTTGTCACCACTTGACGTTCACTCGGGAATATATACTTGATTTTTTTTGTCAATAACTAATCACACGATGGGTACTTATGAATCACACATTAATGAATAATTCTTCTAAAAAAATGATTACTCTTCATTGCTCATGTCTAGACGAAACTATTTTCTCTCTTAGAAGGAAATCTTGTCGAGTATTGAGAAATAGATCAGTTGAACGAATGACACACAGTCTGAGTCAGGATATGAATTGACTCCAAACAATTCGTACACTATTAGTACTCGACTGTTTCCAGTTACATTGTCACATCCCTTTTCTTTTTGTGCACATATCCTCTAAATGACGCTTTCATACGTTAATGACAGTTTAATGCTTAGCGATTGTATGATACTGCTTGAATACGTATCATTCTTAATCATCCTGTTGACATTTAGCATTATTCACATGCTTCCGTTCCAGATTTCATGTTGCTTCTCCTATAGCAGTCCTTAGTAACATCAGCAGTAGTGTTCATTCAACGAAAAAATTCAAATGAAGTCGTATTGAAGAATTCTGT